GTCATCCGTGACAACTTTGGTATCGTGGAAGGACTCGTGACCACCTGAGATGGTGGTCCACGCCATCACCGTCCACGCCATCACCGTCCACGCCATCACCGTCCACGCCATCACCATCCACGCCATCACCGTCCACGCCATCACCATCCACGCCATCACCGTCCACGCCATCACCGTCCACGCCATCACCGTCCACGCCATCACCATCCACGCCATCACCATCCACACCACCATCCACGCCATCACCGTCCACGCCATCACCGTCCACGCCATCACCATCCACGCCATCACCATCCACACCACCGTCCACGCCATCACCATCCACGCCATCACCGTCCACGCCATCACCATCCACGCCATCACCATCCACACCACCGTCCACGCCATCACCATCCACGCCATCACCGTCCACGCCATCACCGTCCACGCCATCACCGTCCACGCCATCACCGTCCACGCCATCACCGTCCACGCCATCACCGTCCACGCCATCACCATCCACGCCATCACCATCCACACCACCGTCCACGCCATCACCATCCACGCCATCACCGTCCACGCCATCACCGTCCACGCCATCACCGTCCACGCCATCACTGCCACCCAGACCATGGATGGCCCCTCCGCGAAACTGTGGCGTGATGGCCGTGGGGCTCTCCAGAACATCATCCCTGCCTCTACTGGCGCTGCCAAGGCCATGGGCAAGGTCATCCTGAGCTGAACGGGAAGCTCACTGGCATGGCCTTCTGTGTCCCCACTGCCAACGTGTCAGTGGTGGACCTGAACTGCCGTCTAGAAAAACCTGCCAAATGTGATGACATCAGGAAGGTGTGAAGCAGGCGTCGGAGGGCCCCCCCAGGGCATCCTGGGCTACACTGAGCACCAGGTGGTGTCCTCGGACTTCAACAGCGACACCCATTCTTCCACCTCCGATGCTGGGGCTGGCATTGCCCTCAACGATCACTTCGTCAAGCTCATTTCCCGGTACGACAATGAATTTGGCTACAGCAACAGGGTGGTGGACCTCACGTCCCACGTGGCCTCCAAGGAGTAAGACCCCTGGACCACCAGCCCCAGCGAGAGCACGAGAGGAAGAGAGGCCCTCACTGCTGGGGAGTCCCTGCCACACCGAGTCCCCCACCACACCAAATTGCCCCTCCTCACAGTTTCCATGCAGACCCCTTGAAGAGGGAGGGGCCTGGGGAGCCCCACCTTGTCGTGTACCATCAATAAAGTCCCCTGTGCTCAGCCAAAAAAAAAAACCTGCATAAACCACACGCACATACTCACACACTCAGATGAGTGCTGGGGCTGGATGAAGGGTGCGTCGGACCTCTTTGCACCTTCCCGTGAATCAATAATTATTTATAAATAAGATATTTTAAAAATTGTATTTAAGACCCGGAGCGGTGGCTCAAGCCTGTAATCCCAGCACTTTGGGAGGCTGAGGCAGGCAGATCATCTGAGGTCAGGAGTTTGACCTCGACAACATGGTGAAACCCCGTCTCTACTAAAAATACTAAAAAAATTAGCTGGGCGTGGTCGTGGGCACCTGGAATCCCACCTACTTGGGAGGCTGAGGCAAGAGAATCACTTGAACCACAGAAGCGGAGGTTGCAATGAGCTGAGATCCTGCCACTGCACTCCAGCCTGGGTGACAAGAGCAAGACTTCGTCTCAAAAAACAAGCAAAAAACGACAATTAGCCAGGTGTGGTGGTATGCACCTGTCATTCCAGGTACACAGAAGGCTGAGGCAGGGGAATTGCTTGAACCCAGGAGGTGGAGGTTAGAGCAGAGATGGAACCACTGCACTCCAGCTTGGAGACAGAGCAAGACTCCATCTAAAAATAAAAATAATTTAGAAAAAGAGGGTATCTCAAAAGCCATGGTCACCTGGGGGCGTCCCAGGCAGGTGCCATGCTCCCTACAGCTGGAGCTGGGATTCCACCACCTTCACACCTGACCAGGAGGACATGTCACTCACCACGACCCTCTCCCGCCTCGTGGAATCCTGGCAAGCTGGACCCCAGCCACACATGCATGTTACACAGATGGGGACACTGAGGTCCTGTGCGTTCCTCTCTTTGTAAAAATAGTGCTGTTAGTGCCTTCTGACCTCCTCAGCCGGCTGCAGGAAATACACGGGGCAGCGGGGTCCCCCAGGTTTCTTGGGGGAGCCGCAGAGAGAAGGGCTGAAATGTTCTCTAACTCCCCGGCGTCCTCAAACTCTTCCCAGAGCGACCTTCAGCTTCACTGGCCACCCTCCCTCTCCTCCCTCCACTCCTGCCAGCCAGGCCTCACCTGTTCCTGCTCTGATGCCTTTGCTGGTCCCCCTGCTCAGTGCTCGGTCCCAGATCCCCTTGGGGCTGGCCTCGATTCGACACCAGCAAATCCGTCGGCTTCTGAGTCAGGTGGCCTCTGCAGAGGCCCAGGACTCCGAGCCTCATAACCTTTTTTTTTTTTTTTTTTTTTGAGAAACAGTCTTGCTCTGTAGTCCAGGGTGAAGCGCTGGAATGCAGTGGCCCCATCTCGGCTCACCGCAACCTCCGCCTCCCAGGTTCAAGCAATTCTCCTGCCTCAGCCTCCCGAGTAGCTGCGATTACAGGCACGCGCCACGACGCCCGCCTAATTTTTGTATTTTTAGTAGAGACGGGGTTTCACCATGTTGGTCAGGCCGGTCTCGAACTCCTGACCTCGTGATCCGGCTGCCTCAGCCTCCCAGAGTGCTGGGATTACAGGCGTGAGCCACCGCGCCCGGCCTTCGTTTTTTTCTGTTGCTGTTCTTTTGAGACAGGGTCACTTTCGTGATGCAGGTTTATCTTCTGTGCGGGGACCATGTGTCTGAAATGATTCGATCCACTTCCTCCTAGAGGGTCATCGTTCCAGCCGGTTATAAGCTCTGAGCGGGCAGGGACTCGGGGCTGGTGTCTGTCACTTCTGTGTCCCCAGCCTCGGGGCAGGCCGGGCATACAGCAGAGCCTCTTACCTACTGGTGGAATGAATGAATGAGCCCAGGAACACATGAATGAATGAATGGTGTCTCAGTTCTTCCTTCCACTCTGCGCCTGAACAAGGTCTTCCCTTTTTGGCTCAGACCTCTGATCCAGCCTGCTCTGCGCTGGGGGGTTTGGCTCCGTGTCCCCACCCAAATCTCATGTTGAATTGTGGTCCCGTGTTGGAGGAGGTACCTGGTGGGAGGCGGCTGGATCATGACCATGGATCCCTCACGAACGGTTCAGCGCCACCCCTCAGTCCTGTCTCGTGATAGAGTTCTCGCGATATCCCCTTGATCCCTCATGAATGGTTCAGCGCCACCCCAGTCCTGTCTCGTGATAGAGTTCTCGCGATATCCCTTGATCCCTCACGAATGGTTCAGCGCCACCCCTCAGTCCTGTCTCGTGATAGAGTTCTCGCGATATCCCCTTGATCCCTCGCTAATGGTTCAGCGTCACCCCTCAGTCCTGTCTCGTGATAGAGTTCTCGCGATATCCCCTTGATCCCTCGCTAATGGTTCAGCGCCACCCCTCAGTCCTGTCTCGTGATAGAGTTCTCGCGATATCCCCTTGATCCCTCACTAATGGTTCAGCGCCACCCCTCAGTCCTGTCTCGTGATAGAGTTCTCGCGATATCCCGTCGATCCCTCACAAATGGTTCAGCGCCACCCCTCAGTCCTGTCTCGTGATAGAGTTCTCGCGAGATCCCGTTGTTTTAAAGTGTGTGGCTCCTCCTCCCACCCCGGCTCCTGCTCCAGCCGAGTCACGTGCCTGCTCCCTCCTGTCTTCTGTCGTGACCGTAACTCTCCTGCGGCTGCCCTGCTTCTCATACAGGCTGGGGAACCATGAAACAATTAAATTAAACCGATTAAACCTCTTTTCTCTATCAATTACCTGTCTCAGATATTATTATTATTATTAGAGTTTCGCTCTTGTCGCCCAGACTGGAGTGCAATGGCAAGGTCTCTGTTTACTGCAACCTCCGCCTCCTGGACTCGAGCAGCTCTCCTGCCTCGGCCTCCCAAGTAGCTGGGATTACAGGCGTCTGCCACCACACCCGGCCAATGTTTGTATTTTTAGTAGAGATGGGGTTTTGCCATGTTAGCCAGGCTGGTCTCGAACCCCTGACCTCAGGTGATCCACCTGCTTCAGCCTCCCAAAGTGCTAGGATGACAGGCATGAGTCACTGAACCCAGTCTGGGTATTTCTTTATAGCGTTTTGAGAATGGACGAATACAGTCCCCTCTGCCCCACAGCACTGGGCCCTGCAAGGAAATTGCCCAAGTTCACACAAAGTCCAGCTGTGAGGAGGTCCCCAGCTAATGCGCGCAGAGTGAATCTGGAAACTGAGGCCCTAAAAAGAAGCCAAACAAGAAATCTCCAGGCACAGTCCCAGATGGAACCTGCCTCACCTCCCGTGCTGCATGTCCTCACCCGCCCCCTCCACCTCCCCACCACCATCCCATCCCTCACCTCCTCCACCCTCCATCCCATCCCTCACGTCCTCCACCCGTCACCTCCTCCACCCTCCAACCCGTCCCTCACCTCCTCCACCCTCCATCCCATCCTCATGTCCTCCACCTGTCTCCTCCTCCACCCCCATCCCGTCCCTCACCTCCTCCACCCTCCATCCCATCCCTCACGTCCTCACCCATCACCTCCTCCACCCTCCATCCCATCCCTCACGTCCTCACCCATCACCTCCTCCACCCTCCATCCCATCCCTCACGTCCTCACCCATCACCTCCTCCACCCTCCATCCCATCCCTCACATCCTCACCCATCACCTCCTCCACCCTCCATCCCATCCCTCACGTCCTCACCCATCACCTCCTCCACCCTCCATCCCATCCCTCACGTCCTCACCCATCACCTCCTCACCCTCCATCCCATCCCTCACCTCCTCCACCCTCTATCCCCATCCTGCACCTCCCCACCCTTCTGGATCCTTTGCAGCTGGTGAGCTGACACCCCACCTGCACCACAGAGACAGGGCGCCACGCTGCTGGGGAACGCAGGATCCACTTCTTTATTGCAGAAAGACTATGTCCAGAGCAAAGGCTACACAGACCCCATGATGGGGGGTGGGGGCACCCACATGCAGGGGGAGAGGGGGCAGGGGCGGGTCACATCAAGCGTGGCCTGGCACAGTCCCCAGCACCAGGGATGCCCAGGCAGGACGGGCCAGCGGCCAGGGCAGGCTCGGACACCCCTCCTATGGCAGATCCCCTCTCTCTCCAGGGTTGGGGCAGGGCCTGGGGTGGGAGAGGCCTAGAGGTGGGCAGGGCCCCAGGGAGATTGTGCTATCAGGGTGTGTCCCTGAGAAAGGGCCGCAGACCCCTGCCCAGCCTCACTCTCTCCAGCACCTTCAGAGCCCAGAAGCACTGCCAGGGCAAGAGAAGGGCAACGTCAGCTGCTGGTGGGCCCTGGGCCAGCCCAGGTGTTGGGGGGACCCAGCTCTGCTCAGACACGATGCCAGCTCTTCCGGGAGCCCCGGTCCATGTGCTGGATAGCAACACACATGCACGCAGCCACACTCCCCCTCTGAGTGCGTCCAATAAACACTTGTTGAGTAAACACTCACATGAACACAGAGGAAGACAAACATGCTTGTACCAAGTCAGACATGAGCAATCTGTAACCTACATAGTCCCACCCGGACACATGACTACAGAGACACAGGTGTGCACGCTCTCTCTGTCTCTCTCTCCACAAAAGCACGTGCACACACACACACACACACACACAGTTTCCTCACACACAATAAGACCAACACGTCCACCTCGCCTTCCCTGGCTGACTTACCTGCTGTGTTCTGAGCCCCACTGTGGAGAGACCCACGTGACACAGATCAAAAGGCAGCTTCCAGCCAACAGCCAGCAAGGAACTGAGGTCTTCAGTCTTGCAACAGCGAGGAACTGATTGCTGCAACAACCACATGAGCTTGGAAGAAGCAGATCCTTCCCCAGTCAGGCCTTCAGGTGAGACCTCCGCCTGGCCCGTGCTTTGATTGCAGCCTCCTGAGATTCCCAAGTAGCAAACCTGCACCCAGGCTCTTGACCCACAGAATCTATGAGATGATAAATGTGTGTTGTTTCTGGTTGCTACGTCTGTGGTCATTTGTGGGGGGTTTTTTGTTTGTTTTTGAGAGGCAGAGTCTCACTCTGTCGCCCAGGCTGCGAGTGCAGTGACGCGATCTCAGCTCACCGCAACCTCCACCTCCTGGGTTCAAGCGATTCTCCTGCCTTAGCCTCCCGAGTAGCTGGGACTACAGGTGCGCACCACCACACCCAGCTAATTTTTGTATTTTTAGTAGAGACAGGTTTCACTGTGTTAGCCCGGATGGTTTTGACCTCCTAACCTAGTAATCCGCCTGTCTCAGCCTCCCAAAGTGCTGGGATTACAGGCATGAGCCAACAAGTCTGGCCAATTGTGGTCACTTGTTACACAGCAATAGCTGACTGATACAGATCTGGGACTGAAAGTCACATTGCTATAGAGTCATGTTGCTATAGAGTGGGACAGAGATTGTGTCCCTCAATCAGGACAAACACAGTTACAGGTAAATGCTCTCTCAGATGAGCCGTATCACCCACTCCCAAAAGTACAGTCACGCTCATACAGGCACAAAGAGTCACACAGACACATCACAAGTAGCCAGTCTTGTTGACAAGCACACACAGGTATCTACAACTACCCACTCCCTGTATACCCTACACCACTAGCGCACACAGGGAGTGCCCCAAAAACACACCATCCCGACAGACACACACAGGCGCACACGCAGATGCACTTAGATGCCAGCCACCCATCCACGCACCCCAGACTGCACAAATACACCGTTCCCCGTGTATGTCGGACACAGCCCTGTGGGGTCACATGAGTGTGGCCCCAGAACCTCACGGCTGCAGATACCCCCTGACTCCAGGACACCACCTTTCCGGGCGGGCCTGCTCTCTGGGGCACAGGTGGTGGGGAGGAAGTGGGCGGAGCAGACCTCTTTCCAGAGCCCCCTCGGATTCGGCTGATGTGGGGTCCTATCGGCTGTCCCCTCACGGGGGTGTCATTGATGTCTCTCTGGCCAGAGCCCCAGGCACCCCCTCCCGAGCACTCCAGGACGCCACCCACCACACGTCGCTAATGTCTCTGTCTCGGTGAAAGAGGCAGGTCCCCGGGTGGGCGGGGTCTGGGAAGCCCCTCCATGTCCACGGTGCCTCCCGGCAGGACAGTTGTGCTGCGACCGTGGCTGTGGCCCGTCCCAGGGGTGGGATTCGGAGCTGGCAGGGGCACTGCTGCAGGCCCTGTGGTTATTGCCTGGTGGCCTGAGGCCCATCCCGCGGGCCCCACATCCCCGGTGTGAGGACAGGGGAGAGGCGGGTGTTCTGGGACCGGAGGGGGGTGCAGGGCACAGGTCAGAGGTCACGAGGGGCTGGGTGGGCTTGGGTGTTTGTTAACACCAAATAGGAGGAGAAAGAAAAACAAATCTGAGGCTGATGTGACTTTGAACTTCCCCCTCCCCTGGAAGGTCACAGTGATCAAATGTGGGGGACTGGGACACGCATGTCTGGCTGGGGACACCCCAGGGAAAGAGATGGAGATGGGGAAACGCAGCCTCCTCCGGTCCCAGCGGGAACAAGGAGCTCCTCTGACCTGTTCCCCATCCTGTTTGCCCACCTGCAGGACAAGGGGGCCACCTCCGGCTCTCGGTTTTGGGGGTACAGACAGAACAGGAGGGTGCAGAAGAGAGAGCGGGGCAGGAAGAAGAGCCTCAGCCCTGCCTCGGGGCGGCCAGGGGCAGCGGAGAGGGGGCAGCCTCGGTTTCCCCAGCCGAGGTATCGGAGGAAGGATGAGAGAAGAGGAGGAGGCAGAAGAGGGTGTCGGGGGAGGCGGCGGGGGGAGGCCGGGACCGGTGGGGGTGGGCGGCGGGCAGGCGGGTGTTCCGGGCTCACATGAGGGTGCATTTGCCCTTGACGCGGTCTGTCCTCTTCTGCTTCCCGGAGCGCTTGCCGTCGATGTTGAGGCTCATGTTCCGGCGCGTCTCCAGCGTCAGCAGCTCCTGGAAGAGCTCCTTCACGTTGTAGTTCATCTTGGCCGAGGTCTCCATGAAGGCGCACTTCCACTCCTGGGCCACCGCCTGCGCCTCGCGCGTGTCCACCTCCCGCTGCGTCTCGTCGCACTTGTTGCCCACCAGCATCACGGGGATGTCCTCCACGCTGCCCTTGATCTGCACGATGAGCTTGTAGATGGGGCCCAGCTCCTCCAGCGACTGCTTGCTGGTCACGGAGAACACCAGGATGAAGGCATGGCCCTTGGAGATGGAGAGGCGCTGCATGGCCGGGAACTGGTGGCTGCCTGTGGTGTCTGTGATCTGCAGGGTGCACACGCTCTTGTCACAGCTGATCACCTGCCGGTAGGTGTCCTCGATGGTGGGGATGTAGGTGTCCCGGAACGTGCCCTTCACGAAGCGCAGCACCAGCGAGCTCTTGCCCACGCCGCCTGCCCCGAACACCACCACGCGGTAATCGTTGCTCTGCTCTGGCATCTTTCCCGCGGCAGGTGGGGGGCCGGGGCCGGGAGGGCTGGTGCCGGCTGCGAGAACCCCAGACCGAGCCTGTGCGGAGAGGAGGGTCAGACGTAAAAGGCCGCCCAGACTAGAGGGGACAGCCCCACACCCCCGGTAAGGGAGGAGGAGGACAGGGAGGCTTCTCAGAGGAGGTGGCCGCCATGCCTCCTGTGTCCCCGAAAAGGCCCATCTGCTCGCCGTGGCTGACTTTGCAGTTCTGTCCCACGGGCGGGCGCACAGCCAGCACCCTTCGCTTACTTCTCCCTGACAAAATCTGGGGCCTGAGCTTCCCTGGAGGACGCTGAGCCACAAGAGGCATGGGAGATGCCGGGAAGCCCACGAAACTCCTTCCCCAGGTGCGGGTGTCCCTTCCAGGCTGTGCTGGCTTCCCCCTCTCGCTGCACACCTGCCTGGCTCTGAGACCCTGCTGACCCGTCCTGCTGCCCCGAGCCTGTTTGCTGCCTGTCTCCACCAACCATGGGTCCCCTGCTCGTCCCCCAACCTGGAGACAGCTAACCCTCATGAGAGCCACCCGTGGTGGGGTGTTTAAGATGCAGGTGTCAGGCCTGCAGCCCTAGCGTGACGAATATGACGAATTGGTCGGTCAGGGCTATAGCCCCGGGAACTTGTATTTTATTTTATTCTTCTCATTTTTTTTATTTTTTTGAGACGGAGTTTCGCTCTTGTTACCCAGGCTGGAGTGCAATGGCGCGATCTCGGCTCACGGTGACCTCTGCCTCCTGGGTTCAGGCAATTCTCCTGCCTCAGCCTCCTGAGTAGCTGGGATTACAGGCACGCGCCACCATGCCCGGCTAATTTTTTGTATTTTTAGTAGAGACGGGGTTTCACCATGTTGACCAGGATGGTCTCGATCTCTTGACCTCGTGATCCACCCGCCTCGGCCTCCCAAAGTGCTGGGATTACAGGCGTGAGCCACCGCGCCCGGCCTCTTCTCATTTTTGTAAGACCAAGTCTCACACTGTCTCCCAGGCTGGAGTGCAGTGGCGCGATCTCTGCTCACTGCAACCTCCGCCTCCTCAGTTCAAGTGATTCTCCTGCCTCAGCCTCCCGAGTAGCTGGGACTACAGGCATGCGCCACCACGCCCAGCTAATTTTTTTTTTTTTGAGACGGAGTCTCCCTCTATCACCAGGCTGGAGTGCAGGGGCAAGATCTCAGCTCACTGCATCCTCCGCCTCCTGGGTTCAAGCGATTCTCCTGCCTCAGCCTCCTGAGCAGCTGGGATTACAGGCACGCACCACCACGCCCAGCTAATTTTTGTATTCTTAGTACAGACGGGGTTTCACCACCTTGGCCAGGATGGTCTTGATCTCCTGGCCTTGTGATCTGCGCGTTAGCCTCCCAAAGTCCTGGAATTACAGGCGTGAGCCACTATGCCCAGCTAATTTTTGTATTTTTAGTAGCGATGGGGTTTCACCATGGTGGCCAGGCTGGTCTTGAACTCCTGACCTCAGGTGATCCTCCTGCCTGGGTCTCCCAAAGTGCTGGGATTCTAGGCGTGAGCCACCATGTCCACCTGGAACTTGTATTTTTTCAACCTGCTCTCCCCTCCAAAAATGGGATCCTGAGGCTTAGAGTCCAATCCACAACTGGAAAATCAGGGCACTGATTCCCAATAGCAGCCCCAGGGAGGCAGGTCCCTGCAGCCCAGGTAGGACACCAGAATACAAAACTAGAAACTGAACAGGAAAATCCCCGCTCCCTAAAGTCTAAAACCAAACTATGGCCTGGTGTGCCCTAGGACCCCCCCTCCCCGTTTAGGTCTGATGGATCCTTAGGAATAGCACTCCCTGGGAGGGGGGTCTTCTTAGACCCCTCTTGGGCTCAGAGAAGTCCAGCAGCCTCAGGAGGTCACACAGCACAGCGGATCCTGAAATGATGGAGGTGGGGGAATAACCCTGGGGGGAGGGCAAGTGGCTTTTCTCCAGAATCGATATCCTCCCCTCCCCTTCCTCCTGCTTCCAGTCTCTGGGGGGCGGGGGTCCCCCAGCAAGGTGTTCTACAGTGGGGGAGAAGGAGGCCCCAGTTTCTACCTGCTGCACTCGGGGAGGGTGCAGAGGTTGCCTGGGACTCAGCTGTTTGAACCTACACAGGCAAATTCAAGTCCCTAAGCCTCCGTTTTCTCTTCTGTGAAATGTGAGCCACTGTGGCGACAGGTAAGGGGACAAGATGGCGAGAGGCGTAGGCAGTGGCCGGTACAGCGGAGACCCCATCACTATTGTGATCACAATCGCTGTGCCAGTTGGTTGCAAAGGCACCTTCTGGATGATGGAGGGTAACAGATTTGCCAGAAAAAGCAAACAGGATGATGAAAGGCTCAGCTGACAGCCCGCGTTGTGATGAGCCAGGCAAACTTCTGGGAGCCTGGGCAATGCTAACTCATGTGATTGGCTGCCGGGTTTGTGGACTCCATGCACGGTAATTCATTCGGAGGAGGCTGGGGGTGCTGGGGAGGGGAGGGAGGCGGCCGGCTCTGCAGACCCTGCCCTTTCCTGGGTGGGTGTCCCGAGAGGCAGGCGTCCTGCCATGCAGAGAGACGCCACCAAGACGGGCCTGGGGTCCTGATGGCCGTGGGCTCTGTGGCCCCAGACCCAGGCTTTGCCTTGCTGTGGACACTGAAGCTCCAGCCTAGTCAGCAGCACTGTCCTCCCCAGCAGCCCCGCTGGGTCTGGGATCCCTGACTTACACTCCAGAGCCCCAAAGCCCACGCCACCTCCACCTCCTCCCCCTCCTCCTGGGGGTTGCAGGTGGAGGGAGAGGGTCCTGGGCACCAAGGCAGGAGCCCGAGGGGCTGGCTCAAGGTCACAGGGCAGGGGGGTGGGGGCACACAGCGGGGCTGAAAGCCCACCTTGCTTGGTTACACTCCCGGTTTCCCACCTGTGCGGGGCAGCCCACCCCCCCAGACACCCAGGCTGGGCCAATCTACCCCGGCCCTGGCTCCTGGCCCGGCACGGAGTGGTGAGGGGAGAGGGCGGGGGTGTCAAAGCCAGCTCAGGGTCAGAAAAGCAGAGAGAGCCACGACCCAGGGATCTCTGGGGGGCACCCCGACCAAGGGTGGGGAGGGGGTGTCACCCACCACCGCCTGACCCCGGTGAAGGGTTTGATGGGGAAAGGGCCTGCTCTGGGGGGGCCGAGGGCGCAGAGGCACAGTGCGGGGCCAGCCCGGGGGCGCCCCTGGACTAACAGGACCTCCAAGGTGGGGAGGAGGAGCCCACCCGGGGAGGGGGCGCCGAGGGAGGGGCCTGGCTAGGCAGCGGGGCGGAGGGCTGAGCGGGTGACAGGAGGCCCTGCCGGGGGGGGGGGGGAGGTGGGGGGTGGGGGGGGGAGCCGATGCGGAGAGGGGCGGCGGGGGGGCCTCGGCGGGGTCGGGGGGCTCCGGGTGGGGGAGGGGAGGCGGCGGGAGCTGTCCAAGGTGCGCCGCGGAGGGGCGGGCGGGATGGGGCGGGGAGGAACCGGCCCCGGGTCCCGGGAGGGTGCGGCCGGGACAAAGGAGGGGAGGACGGCCGGAGAGGGTGGGGGGCTGCGCAGGGACCCCCGCCCCGCCCCGCCCCGGGCCGCCTACCTGGGCTCGCTGGTCCCTGCGGCGCCGCGGCCGCTGCTCCTGCCCGCTCCGGTGTCCGCTGGCGCCGCCGCCCCCCGCCCGAGCCGCCGCAGTCGCGCCCGCGCCGTCCCCGCCCCGCCGCGCTCCGCCCGCCCCGCCCCGCCCCGCCCCGCCCGGGGACCCGCGCCCACGGGTCCCGCGCAGCCACCCGGCCAAGGCCACCGCCGCCACCGCGTTCCCCGGCCCGCGCCCCGCTTGGGGGGAGTCGCTGGGATCCGGGCCCCCCGCCCTGCCACGTGGCCACGCGAGCCCTCCCTGCTGGTGGGAGCGGGGCCGCTTCCTGGGAAACCCCGAGTGGGAGTCGGAAGCCCGGGTCGGGCGGGGGCCGGGGGGCGGGGAGGGGGGAGGCTTTGGCGGAACTGCGGATAAACGGGGTGCAGAATGGGACCCCCTGAGGCCGGCTAGGGGGGAGGCACGCGCAGGGCGGGGAACCAGAGGGGTGCGTTGTGAACGCAATTAACTCAATTATCCACAGTCGACGAGCAGGTGTGGAAGTGGGCAGGGGCGGAGGGTTCGGGTCAGTGGGGCGCACCTGGAGGCCCACCCATCCCAGGGGCCCGGGCAGGGGCGGGGGGTTCGGGTCAGTGGGGCGCACCTGGAGGCCCACCCATCCCAGGGGCCTGGGCAGGGGCGGAGGGTTCGGGTCAGTGGGGCGCACCTGGAGGCCCACCCATCCCAGGGGCCTGGGCAGGGTCGGAGGGTTCGGGTCAGTGGGGCGCACCTGGAGGCCCACCCATCCCAGGGGCCTGGGCAGGGTCGGAGGGTTCGGGTCAGTGGGGCGCACCTGGAGGCCCACCCATCCCAGGGGCCTGGGCAGGGTCGGAGGGTTCGGGTCAGTGGGGCGCACCTGGAGGCCCACCCATCCCAGGGGCCCGGGCAGGGGCGGGGGGTTCGGGTCAGTGGGGCGCACCTGGAGGCCCACCCATCCCAGGGGCCTGGGTAGGGGCGGAGGGTTCGGGTCAGTGGGGCGCACCTGGAGGCCCACCCATCCCAGGGGCCTGGGTAGGGGCGGAGGGTTCGGGTCAGTGGGGCGCACCTGGAGGCCCACCCATCCCAGGGGCCTGGGCAGGGGCGGGATGGGGACAGAAGCAGACTCAGCACCCTGGTTTTGGGAGTGAGGGCAGCCCACGGAAGTCAGGCCTGGGGAGGCAGGGGGTGAGCAAAGGGGCTGGCGCGCTCTGCCGGGAAGGGGTTTGCAGCTTCCGGTTAGAAAACCGCATTCCCCAAACAAGGGACGTCTTAGGGGAGCATTGATTTTTCTGACGCGTCTGTGTGTCTACAAGAGACCATGGGCCCCCCTCCATTTTGGAGACCCAGAGGCCGAGGTTCCGTTTCACCTCATCGGGGTGGATCCCAGAGGAGACTGGACTTTGGGGTGCGGTGACCAGGCCGGAAGGTGTGTTCAGGGGTGGGCGCCGGACAGTTCCAGGCCTCAAGGCTGTTGGAGGAAGGCGCCCCTTGGTGGTGAGGCCAACTCTCCGGCCCACAGGGGACTCTCTGGAGTCAGAGCAGTCCGTGGGTGACCAGTCCCGTGGCTGGTCTGGAACCCCCGTGAACAGGTGCCACAGCCCAGGGAACCCCTCGGGCCCTCAGCTCCTGGGTTCTCCATGACCCGCCATTTCTGTGGCCTCGGAGACTTGGCACCGCCTGAAGACCACTCAGTCCCCTCTCCTGTCACCACCAAGGCTGGGACACTGAGGTTACTGTGGCTTTGGGGCTCAAAGAGCTCTATTTCTCCCTGATTTGACCCCACTCCCCCCACCCATGGCCTCCAGACCCCGTTCCTCCAGCCCTCCTTCCACTCTGCCATTCAGTGCTCCAGCTGGAACATGGGCCTCCCCTGCTCTAACGCCACCCATGGCTCCCTTCTCTCAGGTCAAGGTCCAGCTTCTCAGCTGGGCATCCATGGCCCGGCCTGAGTGCTCTGGGGGTGCACCTCCCTCCTGCCCTGACCCCAGCCCCACAGGAGCACCTCAGAGGGAGGCCCAGCCCCATCTGGGGTGCCCTCAGCCGGAGACAGAGAGCCCTGGGGGCAAACAAATCCCAGCTTCTGCTCTAGGTCGCTGCCTCCAGGGAAGTGCCCTCCCAAGCCTTGGTTCCCCCGTCTGTCAGTGAGGTCACTATTGCCTGCCTGGAGGGTTGCTGGGAACACATGGGCAGGGGGCCTACCCACGTGGGGCTGCTGGGCACCCAAGCCCTCAGATGCCAGCCCAGTGCCTTCCCAGTCCACCTGCCTGCCTTCATCTCCCTAGTGACCCGCCAGCATCAGGCAGGGCCTCAGGCCGGCCCCCTGGCTCCTCCGGGCACCAGCTCAGGCCTGGGCAGGCTGACTCATGCGTAGGAGAGTGGGCAGGGCAGTAACCACGCTGCGGCTGCTATTTATAGTTCCCGGACCAGGCTGTGGGCTGTGTGAGGCAGGGAGGCCAGGCCCTGTTCCCCTCCCGGCTGTCCCTGGGGACCAGGGGCTCCACCCCCGACCTGAGCACCCAAACCAGGACAGCAGGAGCCCCTCCCCCATGGTGGGCCAGGGAGCAGAGGGTGCGGCCTGGGCTTTGTGAGTGGGGGTGGGTGGGTGTCCAGCTCTGCCTCTCCATCATCCAAATATCGTGGGGATCCAAATATCCAAATATCAGGGGCCGTGATCCAAATGTCAGGGGCCAGGGCACCTGCACACCGGGGCACTGAGCAAGCCGGGGCTGGCACTGGGGCTCCCTGGGCTCCCAGCTGCGTCTCGTACCCCAGTCCCTCTTTGGAGAGTCCCTGGGCATCCTCAGAAGTACAGAGGTGGGCGAGGGAGGACTGAGGCCCGCTTCATCTTTGTCAAGGAGAAGACAACCGGTCGAACTCCCCAGCTCCCAAGCTGAGCAGGGTCTGCAGGTATCCACACTGAGTCTCCAGGGTGAACCCCACCGGGGGGTCTGCACATCTCCCACAAACACTGAGTGCCAGTGTAGCTGGTGCTGGGCCCTCCGGGGCCTGTATAAGGCCACTGTCCCTGCTCCCATCTGGAAACTGCAGCTCAGAAGGGAAGCGGCTTGCCAGGGTAGCCCAGTGAGGAAGAGGCCAGTCCGGATCCATCAGGCCCTGAAGCCGCGGCCCAGCCTGCTGGGGACGGATGGCCAGCCCCTTGTGATCCTCTTGCCCTGTCCCTGGCTATCTGGGGGCCTGTCCTGCCTTACAGATCTCCTTTCCAACAGAGCTGCCGGGGGCAGCGTTCGTCTGCAACATCCCAGCTTTTCACCTGCCCTGTAGCTCCACAGCTGCTCTCCTCACCCCGCTGCCCTGGCCAGGGCCACACAGGCCTCACTGAGTCCCAGCTGGCCGTGGGGGAGGAGGGCAGTGGGCTCCAGTCGTCAGGGGTCTTCAGTGGTCTTTGGACCACATGGGCAAAGCCGAGGTTGCACATGCTCCCCTCAGGAGGCAGGGTCACCCCTGGGGCTCAGTCACATAGTTGCTTTTCAAGTTTGGCATCTGTCAATCAATCGATCTATCAATCATCCATCAATCATCTATCATCTATTAATCATCTATCACTCATCTATTAATCATTTATTTTTTTCTTTTTTCTTTTTTTTTGAGACGGAGTTTCACTCTTGTTACCCAGGCTGGTGTGCAATGGTGCGATCTCGGCTCACCGCAACCTCCGCCTCCTGGGTTCAGGCAATTCTCCTGCCTCAGCCTCCCGAGTAGCTGGGATTACAGGCACGCGCCACCGTGCCCAGCTAATTTTTGTATTTTTAGTAGAGACAGGGTTTCACCATGTTGACCAGGATGGTCTCGATCTCTTGACCTCGTGATCCACCCGCCTCAGCCTCCCAAAGTGCTGGGATTACAGGCTTGAGCCACCGCGCCCGGCCCTAATCATTTATTGTCTATCAGTCATCTATATGTCATCTATCATCTATCAATCATCTACTTATCTGTCTATCTATCTGTTTATCTATCTATGTATGTATCTGTCTATCTATCTATCTATCGAGACAGGGTCTCACTCCATCGTCCAGGCTGGAGTACAGTGGTGAGGTCACAGCTCAGCATAGCGTTGACCTCCTAGGCTCAAGCGATCCTCCCTCCTCAGCCTCCCGAGTAGCTGGGACTACAGGCACACACCACCAGGCCCGCCTAATTTAAAACAATTTGAGGGGCCAGGCATGGGGGCTCATGCCTGTAATTCCAGCACTTTGGGAGGCTGAGGTGGGTGGATTACTTGAGCTCAGGAGTTCAAGACCAGCCTGGGCAACATGGTGAAACCCCATCTCTACTAAAAATACAAAAAAAATTAGCCGGGCGTGGTGGATCGTACCTATAATCCCAGCTACTTGGGAGGCTGAAGCAGGAGAATCACTTGAACCTGGAAGGCGGAGGTTGCAGTGAACCGGGATCGCACCACCGCACTCCAGAGTCTGCACAAAAGAGCGAGACTCTCTCTTAAACAAATTCTGGGCCGGGCGCGGTGGCTCACGCCTGTAATCCCAACACTCTGGGAAGTCGAGGCGGGTGGATCATGAGGTCAGGAGATCGAGACCATCCTGGTCAACATGGTGAAACCCCGTCTCTACTACAACACAAAAGACCAGCTAGGTGTGGTGGCGTGCGCCTGTAGTCACAGGTACGTGGGAGGCTGAGGAAGGGGAATCACCTGGACCCAGGAGGTGGAGGGTGCAGTCAACAGACGTTACGCCACTGCACTCCAGGCTGGCGACTGAGCAAGATTCCGTCTCAAAAGAAAAAAAAAAAAATTCTGTAGAGATGAGGTCTTACTATATTGCCCAGGCTGGTGGCATCGATATTTTAAAATACAGAGACCATTTGTCAAAACCATTTGCCTTCGAAGATGGACAGGCTGGCATTCCCACACCCATTTATCTTACCCGTCACCAACTGCAGAGCTGCTCACCACTGCTCCCCCAGGCCCCAGGCCACCGTGGAAAACCCACGCCTCACAGAAGCCACCTGCCTGGCCCCTAGAGCCACCACTGGGTTCCTCTTTAACATCAGGGTGCTATGATTTTTTTTTTTTTTTTTTATAGATGGAATCTTGCTCTGTTGCCCAGACTAGAGCACAGTGGTGAAATCTCCGCTCACTGCAACCTCCGCCTCTCGGGTACAAGCGATTCCCC